GCATCTCCTGAGAGAGAAAACTGCTATGAAAATTTATGTAGTTTCGTGCTTTGTGGAGAACAATAATTTTGTATATGCACAAAGAGAATTACACTCATGGAAATGGAAAGGTTCTTAAAAGTCACATAGTTGGATTTCCCAACCAATATTTGAGTCTTTACAATTGGAATGATAAGTAATCACACACGTGCTCCTTACTTTTTGCTCTTGTGGCCAATGGCAGGCGTTGTTAATGTACCTCAGCACTCTTTCTGCTGCACCTGAACTCAGCCCTGGAATCTTACTCCATTCACCACTCTAGCCAGCTAGTACCAACAGTTAAGAGCATCCCTGCCAAGTGGCCATTAGCCTATTCCCCTAACATCTCTATGCAGTGAGAATGAACACATCACTTCCCAAAAGTTGCCCCTTCCATCTCTAAATAATCCCATCTGCTAGAAAGTTCTTCCTTATATGGAACTGAAATGCAAGTCCCTGTATGTAGCTTCTACCCACTGGTCCTATTCCTGAGTCCACAAGGAACAAGTCCAAATCTGCTTTCATAAACAACTCTTCCAGTACTTGAACACAAGCCTCTTCTGCTTGAGTCTTGTCTTCTTAAAGCTAATACCAACAATATGAGTTCCTCTAATCACTTCCCATGTTCCTTCACAATTCTGGTGATTCTCTGAGAGTCTTCCAGATTGTCTCAAGGTGTGGCATCCGAAAGTTTGCTCTGAATTGTCTAGTATGGACAGCTTCTACATTAGTAGCATGTATACGCAAAGTCTGTTGAGCTGCACACTATTTAGCAAAGCAGAGTCAGGCTTCTAACCATGACAGACTGGGCCAACCAATATCTGAAAGTTGTCTTTGAGACCCACACAGATCAAGTACAAATCCACTTCAAAAACAACTCTTCCAATACTTGCAGACCAATTCTTTAACCAGTCTGCCAGAACCATGTTCTAGCTACCATTCCCTGGAGCTTTTAATTTTTTTTTTTTAATGTTTCTATTGATTTTTGAGAGAAACATCAATTGGTTGCCTCCTGCATGCCCCCTACTGGGGATTAAGCCTGCAACTTGGCCATGTGCCCTGACCAGGAATCAAACCAGCGACCTCTCTCGGTCAACCAACTGGCCAGGACTCCCTGGAACTTTTGTAATCAATGAAGACGGTGTAGCTGTTTCACAGAAGGCCTATGTGCCCTCCTCTGCCTACCAGACAATTCAGACGATTTCTTGGACTAATTCTATTGGCACTTCAATCTTACTGCTATGATCCAAGTCAAGCAATAATCTAACTGGTCTCTCTGCTTTCATTGTCTCCCTATGTCTAGGCTCAACATAGCAGTCAGAGCAATACTATTAAAACATAAACCACATCATGCCACTTCTCTTCTCAAAACCTTGCACTGGTTCCCCATTTCACTGCACCTCCTTTCCCCCATTATTTGTTCACCTCCTACTACTCCACTCATTCATACAGCTCTAGCCACTTTGGTCTCCTTGTTACTTCTTCAACACGCCTGGCATTCTCCTGGCTTAGGACCTTTTCAATGGCTGTTCTTACTGCTTGGGACTCAGTATGAGTCAGCATGTTTAACTCTCTCACCTCCTTTTTATCTTTGCTAAATGTTGCCCAGACCATTCTTTGTAATTCTCCAACTTTCTTCCACTGCACCCTCACCAATACTCCCAAACCCCCTTCCCCAGGTTTTATTTTCCAGAGCACTTATGGAGTTCTAGTACAATAGATCTTTTTGTCATTACATATGCTCACTGTTCATTGTCTGTCTTCTCCTGCTAGACAGTGAGCCCCGTGGGGCAGCAATCTTTGGTCACCAATAGGCCCAGGCACTGAGAGCAATGGTCATCACAGAGCCGATGCTTGCTAAAAATGTACTGTGCACACTCACACGGAACATGTACGTCATGTCCTCATCAGCACTGGTCAATGGCTCACACCTAGGCCCCTTCCTCCAGCCAGCCTGTACTTAAAAAAAAAAAAAAAATCCTCACCCAAAGATATGGGGTTTTTTTGAATTTTGAGAGAGAGAGAAAGAGAAAAAAACATGGATCGGTTGCATCCCATATGTACTGCCCCAACCAGGGATTGAACTTAGGTGTGTGCCCTGACTGGGAATGGAATCCGCAACTTTCTGTTGATGGGATGATGCTTCAACCGAGCCCCCCGCCCAGGGCTTCTCCCCATACGGCTTTGTGCTTTCTCTCCCCGCGTCCAAACTCCTGTTCTTCACTTCTTCCCATATCCCACAAAGCCTTTTCGGACCTCTATTTCATGGTTAAGTACTCTTCCTTTCTCAGTCCCCGTGCTGAAGCCTCCTTCCTTCCTTCGGGAACGGAAATCTGGCTCTGCCCTCAGGACTCTGATTCCCCTGGATGCTTTGGAAATAGAGGCTGCTCATTCTTTGTTCCTTGGCTATCGATCTTCTTATCCTCTACGATTAAGCAAAAAGCTCTGCCCATATGAGGCTGGTACCGGCTTCTTCTCTCCGTGTAGTTGCCACCTACTGACTTCCAGGCTGCTCTCCCATTGATTGGAGCATTTGGCTCCCCATCTTCCTCCACCGCATGGCTTATCATCCTAAGAGACTATGATGCCCATGGGAATGACCCATCCTTGGCTTCCAGCTCACTAACTGGCTCAGCCACATTGACTTTCACTCACATCCATAGCACTTCAGTGCCCCCACTCACGGCCAAACCCAGACCATGTGATCACCACGATCTGCTCCGCTTTCGACATCTTCCGTCTAAATGCACCGACCTTGAATCACGATCTCCATTACTTCCACTGTGCTGGTTCTCTGGACTCATTAAAATCCCTCTTTCCCGGGCTCCTCTGCGTGATCCTTTCTTACAGCCTCATGACAGTTCTACTTCTTGACTTCGTTTAGACACCAAGACCCGACCCATCACTTCCTATAAGCAGCCACTCCAATCTTCATGGATTTCTGTACTGCTTCATATGGTCTAGTTAAGTAAATCTGAAATAATGCAACCTCCCTCCCCAATAAAAACTTAATGTAAGAATGGAAGTATAAATTCCCTATATTTAAAGAATGTCAGGTACCATCTCACACCTGTCAAAATGGCTATCATCAACAAATCAACAAATCAAAAGTGCTGGCAAGGATGTGGAGAAAAAGGAACGCTTGTGCACTGCTGGTGGGAATGCAGACTGGTGCAGCCACTGTGGAGAACAGTATGGCGTTTTCTCAAAAAATTAAAAATGGAACTCCCATTCGACCCAGTAATCCCACTTCTGGGACTATATCCCAAGAAACCAGAAACATCAATCAGAAAGGATCAGCAGATGAGTGGATTAAAAAACAGTGGTACATCTACACAATGGAATACTATGCTGCTATAAAAAAGAAGGAACTTTTACCATTTGCAACAGCATGGATGGACCTGGAGAGCATTATGCTAAGTGAAATAAGCCAGTTGGAGAAAGATAAATATCACATGATCTCACTCATATGTGAGATATAATGAACAACATAAACTGATGAACAAAAATAGATCCAGAGACTAAGAAACACTGAGAGAAGGCAGGAGAGGGGGTAAGAGATCCACCAAAGGACTTATATACATGCATATTAGCATAACCAATGGACACAGACACTGGGGCGGTGGGGGCTTATTCTGGGGGGCGGGAGGGGCGGGGAGGGGGTGTCAATCAGGGAAAAGGAGACATGTAATACTTTAAACAATAATAATAATAATTTTAAAAAAGAGAATGTCAGGAGTAAAGTCGAAGCCGGAGTGTCGGGTGAACTGTAATGAGCCATTAGGCTATTGCCACATGGTGGGGCCATTTTCGCTGATAAACAGAAATACCTGCCATTGCTCAGCACTGCATGCGCCGCGCTGCTGTTCCCGTCCAGTGGAGCTCCTGTGAGTGGCTATGAGACTAACGTGCTCTTGTTTCACACACTCTGTTATTGTAACTGGAAACATTTTCACATCCTACAACAATATCTCTCAAGCCCTCATTAAGCAGTGGTTTAGGGATGGTGCTGAAAACACAGCCCCAAATAGTGACTTTGGAAGAGCTAGTTGTGATAAAACACTACAAAGAGGCCAAACATCCACTATGATGCACTGTGCTGTTAACTTAAGACCGAATACTTAAAACACTTAGAAGGTAATGTAGGAAAAAATTAAAATATGGTAAAGTAAAAATATGGTACGATGCCGTACATTCATGCATCCCCCCAGACCATGCCCTTTACCTTTTTCCCTATGAGAAAATTAGACTTGAAGTATGCATTTACATCATGAATCTCTTCAGAAACATAGCTAACACACAATGTAGATGTCGTCTTAAAATACAATGTTCCCCACGTCTTTCATAAAAAGCTCCTCTTTCCATAGATAAACCCAAGCATACAGCAAGTAGTGTGGCGATTATGAGCATGGACTGTGGCACCAGACTACCTGGAGATGAATCAGTTCATAATTTTCTAGTTTTATGACTTGGGTAAGTTACTTACCTTCTCAGTGCATTAGTTTACTCAGCCGAAAAATGAGGACGATAATGGTACCGACCCCCACTACCTTGAAGGGGTGTTGTAAGGATCGAATAAGTTAATCTATGTAAGACACTTAGGACCCCACCCCATATTGAGTAAACACCAGGCAAGTGTTAGCCATTGTTGCAAATGTCACATCACCACCTCACCTTCCCATCAACCCTTGATGATACTTAGAAGGATGAATTTATTTCACTGGGTTAAAAAAAAATAAGTGCTCATTTATGTAAATTACTCACACTATCTGCAATGGGATGAAGATATCAGTCCTTCTTTTGCTACTTTGGGAAACTGTGAGAACCCTTCTTCATCACAGTCTGTGTATCCGTATACAGTAGAGCGGTGATATTCAGGGAGCCTTTTCTAGTGCAAGTACTGGATAAGTGACCTGATTCCGAGTAGAGCCTGCTCAGACCCTAAGGGAGAGAGTGGTGTGTGTTTCATTTGCCAGCCCTACCTTCAGCCTGTCTTTGGGCAGAGCAACAATTCCTTGCTTCATGATTTCCAGGACCCATTCCACCGAGAGCTCAGCTCCAGCCTGTAGCAACCTGGAGCTGAAGAAGGTGATCACCTGGAATGTAGAATGGAATTTTTTAAACAAGTAGATATAGGAGACGTATTTTCATGAGGTCTTTTCATATAGTGCCTTTCTCATATGGTCGCCAAGCTATCCTAACTATACGACCTGGCTTTTAACTCACTAGCCCTCCTAAATGCATCTTCTCTATAGAGTTGGATGTCTGAGTCACAGTCAGCCCCTGAATGTTCAGGGCTCATTATCCATTCTGTGAATTACGTAGGCTCCTGAATCTGCTCTTTCTTGTGCTGCCTCACCTTGCATTTGTATTTCATTTGGAGAGCAGCACCTATCAGAAGGTGGAGAAAGAAAGCTAAACCTTAAAACCTGTTAATACCGAGGCTTCATAGTAACTCTTAAAAAAAGAAAAGCGACATAAGAAAGAAATGTGAAACTAATGGCTAAAATGGTGTTTTGGGCAGTATTTATACATTTAATTTTCCCACGACACTCGTATCCTGATCACCAGGGATAATCAACAGCAAGCTATAATTACTTTTGCGCATGTCACAGCACAGCCTGAACTAAGCAGCGACATTCTGGACATAATCCTGTCCCTTAATATTTGTCACAAAACACTAATGATCTTAGCAAATCATTCAGCATCACAGTGATAACAAATCAAGACATTGTAGATCCCTTGTTACTCGAGAACATCACACTTGATTTAACCTTGTTTGCCATTTGTAGGACCGCCATATTGGCAACTGAATGGACTAGTGTGGAGTTCAGTAAGGATGGCTGGATGTGGAAATACACAAAATCTAACACGAATTTTACACTGAGCAGAGATAAAAATAGTTCTTGCCTTTACCATACTACACATCCATTATTGTTCACTGCCTCTGTTCTCTACTTATATGAAGCCATGACATTTCTTCTCTCGTTGGGTGTGGTAACCCTATTTTGTCCTGCTGCCTATTCAGCCAGATCATTTCATCTTATGAGTTAGATGGGAGGCATACGTACCACTGGCTAATAGAAATTTGGCCACTTGAAAAACACTTGTCTAACTCCTTCTGCAGAAGTTAAAAGTGCTCCAAGGTTAGTCACTCCTGTCTCAGATATTCAACATTGCTGAATGTTTTAATGAAAAATATCAACTCTCAACTCCCTGTCAGCTAAAAATAACAGTGGATTCATAGTGTCCTTTCCCAATACTTTCCAAGGTTAACTTTATGAAAAAAGAAATAGTAAAGACTTGCTTAAGCCAAAAATTTCAGGGGCATTTAGGGGAGGGAAGGTAAAGTGCTGAAAGAAGCAAAAAGTAGAGATGTTATTTATATCTCTACCATGGCATTTTTTTCAAAACATGTAAAAAGAGTTTAAAATGTTTCTGAATAAATTTCAGAATAGTGTGCCCAGCACTATTTTGGATGGCAATATTCAACAAAAAGTTGTTGGAAAGCTTGCTCATTTGGAATCTTACTTAGGTTTATCCAAGTGAATGTTGAAAGCATAGAGTTTATAATGAGAAGACCTGGATTTAAGGTCTGTCTGAGTGACTTACTAGCTAAGTGACCTTGAGCCAACCTTTTTCCTTTCATGTGCTGCTTTGCTTCAATGGGATGGTTGAAGATTTCAGATGAGATTGTGTATATGTAAATAACTCACAAGCAAATATGTAATCAGTATCTAAGACAATGATTCTTAGGCTGGGATTTGTGTTAAAATCACTTGGAAATCCTCTCTCAGCATCTAAGTTTTCTTATCTGGGATAATGGTTAAATATATTTTAGGATATCCATAATATATATATTAAGATGTGAGATTTTTCAAAGAATTGATATTACATAAAAATGTTAATGATCTAAATGTTAAGTAATATATATATGTGTGTGTGTATATATATGTCTGTGCATATGTTAAGTAAAACATATATATGTGTATACATATGTCTGTGCATATAAGATATACACACACGGAACGCAACAATTGTTATAGCAGAATAGAGGGCAAAAATAGTTAATGTTAAGGAGGTTCTATTATAGTTTTTATCAAGGTTTATTAAACTCTACATTAATACTTAAAAAAGAACCATGATAAATACCTCCATGACACTTACCAGATCAATATTTTGCATTATATCCTGAAATGAAGGATGAGTTCGGAATTGCTCAAAGAGATCTCGTTTGTAAAGCAGTGCGTACACCAGGTTTGGGTTGTGGTGAAGAGAAGTTGCCAGGCAGGAATTGATGATCTCTAACATCATTCGAATCACTTCCTCGATGACATTTAGGTCTTGTGCCTGATAAAGAAAGAAAATGCCCACACAGGGTCAGTGTTTTACTCCTTGACACAGACTTAATTGGAATGAGAGCCATAAAACTTAAGAGCCATTATGAATACTTCTGTCAGGTTCCTTTCAATAAAAGCTCTATCCCGGTTCCCAATGTCTAGCAGGGAACCTGGCGCCAGTGTGCTGCCGCCCCCCTGGCACCTTTGGTTGACTCCCGCACACAGGGATCGAGCCTGCAACCGAGGTAACATGCCCTTGACCAGAATCGAAGCCGAGACCCTTCAGTCTGTGGGTCAGTGCTCTATGCACTGGGCCAAACTCACTAGGGCTCAGATGGTATTTAAAGAAGGTTGCTATTGGATTATTTTCCATAAAGATTAAGTGAGGTAGCACTTATAAAGCCCTTAAAACAGTGTGTAACCCATGGTAAGTACCACGTGAGAGCTTTTTAAATATAAAAACAGATACATTAAAGTATTTTAAAGGATAAAAGTCATTTTAATTTTGGACATTTTACAAAAAAGAACAAAAAGTAAAAAATGCCTTTAGAAAGTTAATAAATTAATTCAATTATTATAACTGCCAATAACTTAGAAATCACATTTCTTAGTCTTAAATATAAGCCTCCAAATTCCATTTCTATTAATTTACAAAACTGGTCCTTTAAAAAAAGCCAAATTAGGTCCTTCAGAGGACAGTGTATAGGAAAATTGACTTACATTTATGGAATAACAAAGTTTTATAAAAAGACATGCTTTTAAAAACTAATTGTTTCCTCTGTACTGTTAAAACTAGCTTTGTCAGAAAGCAAATGTCATGGCTAACTGGTGGAAGAGCAACATACGTGCAGAATATTGCACTTTCTCATTTATGGTATTGTATTTTTAGAATACACAGCTTCCATTCCAGGAATGGATCCCAGGTCAAACAGACTTTGTCCTCAAAAAGAAAAACAACAACAACAACAAGAAATCCCAAACAACCCAACACACACACACACACACACACACACACACACACACACACACACTTTATTGCAGAAAATCTCAAATGTAAAGACAAGGACCCTGAGAAAATGGTCCTGTTTTCTGTGGTTCTGGTGGTTTTCGTACATGTTGGTAATGAACACCGAGCAAGTCCTGTGCTAAGTAGTGATTTCATGTCAAAGGGACAAGTTGGCAGTTGTGGGAGTATCTTACCCTGTCAACAGCGCTCATGGTTGCCTCATTATATAAACTTCCTTTTCCCTTTTAAGAGGGAATTTATACAGTTAAATAGTTTCAAATCATTTATTTTTAGTTTCCTTAAGAGAAGCATATGTATCTTGTTTGTATTAGTTTTGGGGGGATTCCAAAAGAGTTGTCTAAATTTCCTGTATTTTTAGCAGAAAATAAAACCTTCAACAAAATTAATGGGACGCTGCCCAAGTGGGGAAGCGGGGGAGGAAACGCACAGGCAGGCCTCTTTCTGAAGTTAATGTGCAAATGGCCTTCGAATCCAATCATCTGGTGATAGACCCGTGTTATCTTTAAGTTGTTAATTCACTGGCACATACACTGAAAAGCTTTGTAACCACGCTATTTCTAGCCAGAACTGGATCTGTCCCAATGTATCGAGCTTCTTATAGCAAGAACTAGCTTTCTATTACATGCAAAATCACAGCTGAAGAATAAGTCCTGTGACCAGATGAGACAATGTGTAGCCTTAATAATTCGGGGGGAAGGAGAGGGCATCAGCAAGCAGTTGTGGCCCCATCATTCTTGGGGGGGATGGGAGAATGTAAAACGATGTGCTCTTTTTCTTCCTTCCGTGGACAGGTCTTGGATGTGGCCCGCACGCCTAAACTAGAACCCTGGGAAGTCTGTTATTTAAAACACCATTACTGGTGGCAGGAAGGCAAGATAATGGTGGCTGCTAGGGGTCACTGGCTAACTTTACATGTGTTTCCATACTTGGAAAATAGCCAGAGAACTCACAAAAGAGGAATGTTCTCATTGAAATCCAACTAAGTTGCAGCCCCCAACAGTCATATCACCTTAGCAGGCGCTCACACTGGGCAGGAGGTGGGTGAGAAGAATGCTTCTCCCGTCTCCCCAGGCCCCTCCGGCAAGCAGAAGAGAGTAGGCATGCACCTGAGCCCAGAGTGTTCCAAAATTTAATATTTTGCTTTAAGAATCAGTGTTGATTTCCTTTCTCCTTCCAAATATATTAGTGTTTCATTATAAAAAGAAATATCCTTTCACTCTATAAAAAAGTAATATCTGAATAAAATAATTCTCTAGGAAGATGTATCTTTATTTATTTATTTATTTTTTGGGAAGATGTATCTTTAAAAAAAATTTGATAGTCTCCTGAGTGCCTCCCCTCGTCCCAATCTGAGCTACCAGACCCGTTCTAGTCCGAGCTCTGCCAATCACGAGCTATGTGAGCTTCGGTAAGTCACTCAACCTGAGCTGCAGTTTTTTATTTGCAAAAACAAGTGCTTATGAGATTTTAAAAATTCCCTCCTACTTGTAAGTCTTAGTTCCCATTAAGAATGTAGAAAATACTGAATTTAGAAAGCAAATTTTATTAGAGTAACCAAAAATGTGATTAATGTAGAAAAATCTTTAGGGTGACTTCAAACTTCAGTAAAACCCAGAATTTACTTTAGATGACCCCAGCACCTTAAATAGAGTTATTATTAGTTTAGAAGGAAAACCGCCAACAAGCTTTGAGAGTAAAAACATATAAGGTTAGCCCAGCCAGTGTAAGTCAGTGAACGTCGGCCCATGAGCCAAGAGGTCATGGTTCGATTCCTGGTCAAGGCACATGCCCGGGTTGTGGGCTCAATCCCCAGTGGGGGGCGTGCAGGAGGCAACTGATCAATGTTTTTCTCTCTCATGGATGTTTCCACCTCTCTATCCCTCTTCCTTTCCCTCTAAAATCAATAAAAATGTATTTAAAAAAAGTAAGTTACTGTAACTAGGCTTAAAAAACACACACATATGAAGCTAAGTCTGAAAATAATCCTTCTCTAAACCAAGGAACCTGCTGGTTCTTCTATAACTCACTGTTTTCAATGTCTGTTAATGATTTTTTATACTGTTAATGCACAGACGGGAAGTAATCTCTATAGCAGCGGTTCTCAACCTGTGGGTCGAGACCATTGGAAAACACATATAGCATATCAGATATTTACATGACGATTTGTAACAGCAGCAAAATTACAGTTATAAAGTAGCAACGAAAATAATTTTATGGTTGGGGGTCACCACAACATGAGGAACTGTATTAAAGGGTTGCGGCATTAGGAAGGTTGAGAACCACTGCTCTATAGGCTTGTATGCCATGGACTCACATCAGAGACCTGCGAGGCTTGGCGTCCTTTTTTCATTCTTTCCTGGGAAGAAAAGCCAGTGGTGCTAAGAACAGCAGTAAAGAGTCATAGACAGGGGAGCGATAACCCTGAAATTTAAATTAAATAAAAAAGGGAAAAGGAGGTGGCTGCATGCCAGTAGAGAGAAGTTGTTGGTTGGGTCCCAGCCCCAGTTCTGCCACGGACTGGCCACATCACCTTCCGGCCTCAGTGTGCACCAAGGCGCAGGGAAAGGCTCTCTGCAGGGGGGCTCTGCGAAGGGCCCACACTGGCTTCTGCTTGGGATGTGGAGTGCAGCGTGCCTCTCCCGCCTCCCCAGCCGGAGAAGCCAGCTAGGTCAGTGAGTCGTCAGTCATCCTAAAGCCACCAGGGACGGAGGATGCTGCTGCCAGGCAATCAGTGCAGTGCAGTGCCCCAGGGACACGTCCCTCCAAGGAGAGAAGGAACACAGCACTCCCTCGCTTCTGCAGAGCACAGGAGGAAGCAGTGGTTCCACAGGCGCGTGGAAGAAGTCAGCTAATTTCAATGAATTCCTTTTTAAAATACATTTTTATTGATTTCAGAGAGGAAGGGAAAGAGAGATGGAAACATCAATGATGAGAGAGAATCACTGATTGGCTGCCTCCTGCACACCCCCTACTGGGGATTGAGCCCGCAACCCCAGCACATGCCCTTGACAGGAATCGAACCTGGGACCCTTCAGTCCACAGGCCGACACTTTATCCACTGAGCCAAACCGGCCAGGGCAGAATTCTTAAAGACTAATGGGGTCCAGAAAGATGGAGCTGTAGCTACAGTGGAGTCTGCACTCACTTAAAGCTCTTTTCCACCAGCCTCCACCAGAGAACAGTAGCTGAGGGTCAACACCATGACATGTGCGGTGTCCTAAGCGTTGGGAACAGGTACCGAGCATATAGGTAAGAAGCAGTTCTTACTCGTATTTCACCTTGAAGTTCTAACATCCTGTAAGGCAGACATGTCTCAAAAAAGCTTTTTTTTTTCTTCTTCAAAATATGTAAGAAATGTAACATTTGAAAAAGGGAACAAAAACTTATCGTTTTTACTTGGAAATAATATTGCAAATATAATTGAGGGATGCTGAACCTCAATCTAGATACCAAAAACGATTTTCATGGATTCAAATCAGGAGCAATTATTCTGTATATTAAAGAATCCCTGGCTTTACAGAAAATTGGCCAGAGTGTAGAAGAGGAATTCTGTGGCACAGCAGTTAACAGCCCAGGCTCTGACCTTGATCCAGTCAAGGTCAATGGCAATGAGGGTGACTCAGTCTACTGCTATAACCTGATTGGCCTTTGAATCTTGTTCTACTATTTACTGCTTATGTGACCTTTGGAAAAATTCTAAACCTTGATTTCTTTATCACCAAAATTGTTACAGCAGAGTGGAAACAAAATAATGTCTATATAAAACACCTACCCCAATGCCTAACATGCAGTAACAGCTCGAGAAATTGTTGCTCTTACTAGTAAAAGCAATAGTAATAATGAATGAAAGTTTCCTACTAGATATTTATGTACTTGGGAGATATGTTTATATTTACTCTATCAGGCACTAAGTCAAACAATTATGTTTTCTGACTTGAATTTTTACGTCTATTTAAAGAGAAGTGCTTCCATGACATTGAAAT